AGAGCGAAAGAGAGAGGACAAAAACAAATGAGTGAGTGACAGCCATGGGCCGTGGAGGGCAGTGGGCCAAAGGACGAAATACGGGACAAACAAGAGGAAAAGAAACCCTTTTTCTGGCCTGGTCTGCCCTGGCCCTGGTCTGGTCTTTTCCTTGACAGTCCAAGACCCAGCCGTGGTCCCCAGTCCGCTTTCCCTTTGCGAGTGTCGAAGCCAAAGGACAAACGGCAAGCGAAAAGGACTCGGAGCCACCACGACCAAGAAATACGATTAAAATTTGAACATTGAGGCGAAAGGCAAAAGACGTTTTTGTGGCAACCGTCACGTAGGGTGCTGCGGCGTGGCCTGAATGGTTGGTGGGCGGTGGGCGGTGGACGGTGGGAGGGGGACTCTTGCTTAATTTGAATGAAGTGGCAACATTGTTAATAGCCCGCATCTTACCCCAGAAGATGCCCCGTCGTCCTCAGGTGCCTTTCGCCTTTAATGATGCTGTTTACTTTTGCATTTTATGTGGCAGCAGCAGGAAAAAAAACACGCTGAACGTGTAACCAGGACTTGGGCAAACATTTGCATAGAAAACATGAGGCCAAAGCGGCAGTAGACCAAAGAAAAGTGCTGAAACTCCAAGAATTTCCCTATTTCTATATATTTAACACGATTTTTTCCAACATTTACTCTTGTTTAATTAATTTTCTTTCTATTTTCTATTGGTATTCCCTCGATTTCCTTCATTTCCTAAGCAAAGATGGAAAAACCTGTGCCCCATTTACTTGTTCAATGTTTAACTTTAATTATGGATTATCTTGGGCTCGAGATACTCTCGAATTTTCCAATTAGTTGCGCGACTAAAAATTTACAACCGCTGCCCCCGCAGGTGGCAATATGCAGTGGGCAAAAATTCAATCAACCAAGCGACAGCACGGCGTTTACGAGCCTCCTTGCCACATAAATTTTTCCCAAGAGTCCCCTTCCCCCACACACACACACACACACACAAAGAGAGAGGATGTTGGAGTCCTGGCCTGCCCCTCCACCTTTTCTAGCACATTTACCTTTTTGTGGGGGCCGCAAATAAAAATAAACACACGTTCCTTTGTCGTGTTCATTGCCAAAACGTGTCTTGGGTTCGCTTCCTCCGGCCGCAGCTCCAGCTACAATAGTGGATTGAAGGACCTCCTCCTGGTAGGACTGAAAGTCGCGGTTTTTGTCAAGCCAAAGACAAAGTGCGCTCCCTGCCACAACAATAGTTGGGGCAGTGGGGGCCGCAGCAGAAATGGGCGCATAAATATTTGAAACATGTTTACCCGACCATACCGACCATATTTCTTGTGGCACTCCAGGTTGCAGCCAGCACCATTTTGGCTGCCTCTGACCACGTACGCTATCAATGTCCAATCTTCTCCACTCAACAAATTCCACAGCAGACGCTCTCTGAATTTATTTTCCAGCTCCAGATCCAGCTCCAGCTTCAGCTCCCGCTCCAGGACTCTCCTCCATTTCATCTCTTTCATAATTTGCTTATTTTATTTGCTTTGATTTCGGGTGAGAGGAGCGCCGAGCGCCGAGTGCCGAGCGCCTTTCCAAATGTCTGGATGGAAAAATGCTTGGACTTTTCATCTGTCAGAGTTGCTTTGATATTTCCGTCTTCCTTCTGTTTGTTTGGTTAGTGTTTCCTTCTTTTTTTTGTTTTGGTTTTTTTGGGGCATCTTTCAACAAGTAAACAATGAGCTTAAACTGTGAGCGGCTGCCTGGAATATGAATGGGTTTTGTCACGCATAAAACTACGAAAAGGGTTTGCCCACATCATGTGTGCCGAGCTGTGGAGGCGCCACTCCTCGCTGCAGTGGTCTCTGCCTACGAAGAAACAAATCCAGACAAGGTTTTACGTAGTCGCATCCATCTGGTATCGTTTTTCATATGCCATTTCATTTGCAAGAATTTCTTAGATATATTTTCCTTCTTGGGGTCTCCACTGTAGCCTCCTGCATCCTGGCTTGCACGTCTCTCTCTCTCTCTCTCTCTCTTTCTCTCTCTCTCTCTCTCTCTCTCTCTCTCTCTCTCTCTCTCTCTCTCTCTATCTGGTAGGTGTTCTGCCTGTCGCTCGCTTATTGTTTATATTGTTTTAATTAATTTAATTTTGAGTTCTTGTCTTTGCCACAGACTCCGCTCCGTGGAGAGGCTGCTCCCTGTTGGCATATTTTATGCTCACGTATGCAGAAACGATATCCTGTCGCCCCGTCGTCGTTGGGGGAGACGACTTTGTCGACGCCGTACGACCACAAGAAAAGTTGTGTGCTCTGTTAAGTGGTGGAATGCCTTCTCAATACCGACTCCTGCTGCTCCAGATTGCTCCCCCACCTCCCCCACCGCTCCATCCCCTTTAGGCCTTTAGAATTGCCGATGCCTCCGACCGCCCGTCTGACAGCCCGCCTGACTGCCTGACTGCCTTCCGGTCCTTCACTATGTTTGTGCAATGAAGCGTTGAGCTTTTATAACGCCAACAGTCAGCGAGAGACTAAGAGACTGAAGCATTGGGCGGTTGGGCGGCGGGGGGACTCGAGGACTCGAGGACGTAGTCAGTCATTGAGAAGCTGTAAAAAGCTGCAGGGAAATTCTTAATTTACAAAAAAAAAAGAAAGGAAAACCTCTGCGTAATAAATGAAACGTAAAAGAAAAAAAATATAAGAAAAATCAACCCAAGAACCAAACGAAACTTAACAACTCAACGAAGACAGCAGGGGCAGTGGGTGGACGGGGGGGGGGGGAGGACGGGGGCAGAACAGGGCCGGACAATCCCGGCTTCCGACAGTTTTTCGGTTCGGACAGACGCTCAGACCCTCTCCTGGTCTTGGCCACGCACTGAAAGCTTTCCGCTCCACTTGTCTGCTGCTTTGATTCTCACGGTTTTTCATTTGAATGCCCCTCCTCCTCGCCACAGCCCTGGGATGAAGCCTGAAGGACGCTTCGCCTCACCTGTTCCAGCAGCAGTATCTTTGAGATACTTAGATACGTATATATTTTAATGTGCGCTTTATCAACAGCTTTAGATAGCAGCAGACTTCTCCAGGTCTCTCTCTCTCTGTCTCCTTTGGATACGCTTCTCGCTTGATGGGGCAGCGGGAGACCACGCCCCTCCGTTCCTCCTCGTGCTGTGCTTTTCTGGGTGGAGAGGGATTTCGAGTGATTTCTCTTCAGGGAAATCGTCTAGTGGAAAGTCAAATTTATTTTCGATTGCGTTTCGACTGCAGCTGGCAGCGCTGTTTGTCACCGTGGCGTTGCCAGACCTCCCATCCATCGATGTCCTTGGCAGCACTGGCACACCCTATCCCCTTTTCGGCCCTGGAGTTATTTTTTGGACGCTTTCAATGGGCTGTCAGCTGGCAGGCCGCTTTCCTAATGCTTTTCGCTTGTCTAATTAAAAACTTTGGGGCGTTAATCCAGCAACACATGAGATCCAACCCGTCCACGCTGTCGCTCGCTTCCTTCGGCTGTCAAAAGGACGTCACAAAAATGACATTTTCCCGGCTAATTACAATTTCAAATTAAATCACGAGTAATTAGCCCGAAAGTCAAAGCCAAAACCTGGCAAACACACGACACGGCTGGGATGGGGCAGGGATGGTGTTTTCTGGAATTTGACAGAATTTTATGATTTACAAACGCAATGAAAATTGTTGGCCTAATGGTTTGTCTCTCTGTCTGTCTGTCTGTCTTTCTCTTCCTCCCCCACCCTGACAGGTGGGAGCTTTGTGGCGGTTCACGCCCACCATAGCCGGGAAATTTCCCTGCCAAAATGAAAGACATTAACGAGTGAGAAAGAGAGAGGGACAGGGAGAGACGAAGAGAACCAGCGAAATGGGCAAAAGGCGGGCGACACATTAAAATACATTTTTAATGTTGATGTGCCACAGAGTACATGCCACGCCCCCACCACATCCAGTGATAAAATTTTCTTCATTTTGTATTTGTTTTCCTTCATTTTGCCGCCGTATTTATTATTTATACATGTGTCTGCGTCTCTCTCTCTCTCTGTTTTGACTTGTGCTCGAATCCCCAGCCCATCCCACATCCCACGTCCCACGTCCTCCTACAACAGAACTGACACAACGTCCGTTCCGTTAGAAATGTAATCAAAATAATTACTTTTATTGCGATTTCTGGCCCGTATGCTAATCAACAGGATTCTACGTTCGGATTCGGATTCGGTTTCGGGGTAGGGAATGGTCTGTCAAGCATATTTCTGTTTTTTGGTCTTTGAATTATTGTTATGGCTTTCATTTTAATGGGTTTTAATTTCCTAGTTGGAATGTCTCTCTTTTTTCTATTATTATGCAAATAGATACAGATACGCGTACGCGTATGAATTTTTACAAGCCCATTCTTCATACCATAATGGGATTCTGCCATCGACCTTTTCCAACACTCAATTTATGTATCGATGGGCAGCACAGTTTGCGGCCAAATTGGCCATTTTATAGCTAGTTTTGCCACTTTTTAAGTTCGATTGACTGCAAAATATATTATAAAAGTGCTTTTAGGTGGAAATCGGGCTATGTAAAATATATATTTCTTCTTTGAATTAAATAAAAATTCGATATTTGTATCGATAGTCTGTTATATTACCTTCTCAAATTTGCGTCACTTTGCTAATATTGAACTTTGTCCTTTGACAACCGCCAAGGAATCTACAATAAACTGGTACAGTGGCATCAGTAAAAGCTGTAAAAGCTCTATAATAATTACTATTTTATCAAAATTGACAAAATCATGCAAATTTTCTTTTTTAAAACATTAAAATATCTTTTAAAATATTTCTGTATATTATTTCTTTGGGTAATTCAGTTATTTTTTCACGTTTTGCCATAAAAAGAGCTGTTTTTTTCTGTTAAAACTGACAGATATTTCCCAAAAGTCATGTATCGATAGTTTCCGACAAGACAGTAATCTCTGTCATTTCTATCGGGTTGGCAGCACTCTTTCTTTCTACAAGTCATTCTAGGCAGAAAAATTAAGTTCATTTCTACTGCAAAATTATGCAATTTGTTACGAACCATCCTTTTGGACCGAATGGACCCTACTATGGGCGTCCCTGTCTACGTGATCGCTTCCCCAGCCTGCTGGACGAGGTCGGGGAGTGGGGCGGCAGCCTGGTGGAGCATCTGGGCAGCGCCAACATCGAGAACATGGGCGCCCGCCACAAGAAGGGACGCAAGCACGACAAGGACCAGGAGTTGCGTGACGCCAACGAGAACCTATTGACCGGTTCTCCACGCATCAGCAGGACGCTGCGCACCAGAGCGCGCAGCATGCGGCGTGCCCACGACACGTTCGCGCCACGGATGACGCGCGAGCCGCCGGTCTGGGCCGAGCCGCTGGAGACTCAGCGGCCGCGTCGGCGCAGTCGCTCGGTCAACGTGCAGCCCACGGCTGAGCGACAGGCGGGCGAGCCCCCGTACATGGGGAAATGCGATCATTGCCGTCGCCATGGCACCGATGATGCTGCGAGCGATTTCAATGCCCGCACCATGGCCATGCGCATCTTTGATCATCGCATTCTCAGGTGAGTGTGGGTCCCAGTTTGCTCGCGACCTTCGACCTTTAACCCCAAGAGATGTTCCTTCCAGCAACCAGCACCAGTTGATGCACTGCAACCATTTCGGTACGTTTATCCCTGAGGTTCAGCAGTGAGAAGAAAACGCAGCATACGTAGAGCTTGCCACATCTGCTTCCAATTACACGACACACTTGCCACAACAAGGGGGAGGGGGACCTTGGAGGAATTCACGCACGCACACACACACGCACAAATCAACGCAGACATTTATTTTCATGTACTTTCATGACTCTCAGTGCTGGATGTCGACGGCCAGCGGAATATAAGGAATGGATAGGCCCGCCCTTCCAACCGCCCGCCCGCCCGAAGTGCAGTGGCCTGGCGCCTCAAGGGAGATATCTGCAGGCCCCTGGAATGAGGAAGTAACTGCAGAGAGAACGCGAAATAACACCAAGAAACACATGAGAATTGATAATTATAATATATTTAGTGTAATAAACTGTGGATTTCGAGGCTTACTACTATACTACTTACTTACTATATCTATGCTATTTTTGAGATTTGTGCCCCCCAATTAGGCAACTAAGCAGAAAAGTCACTTCATCAGCTCTGAGACCCTTCTGCAGGGTCATTGCAGATCTGCTGAACCCCCAGTCACTCTTATAGCACTCACATCTACCGAATCTTATCTTACGCGTTTCCGTTTCTATCTCATTTCCCTGCTGGCGCCCATCCCCAGCTAAATCCTGCACATCCTGCCGCCCTGCCGTCCTGCCCATCGTATTCGCTTGTTCACTTTGCCATACGCTTTGCATATTTGAGGGCGCAACAGGAAATGAATGAACACGCCCCAGCGACTGGAAACGAAACGAAAAGTGGCGAAAAAATAACATCCACCCGCAGGAGCAGCAGGAGCAGGCGGAGCAGTGGGAAATGTTGGAAAAGCAACAAACAGACTTGTGGCACAGTTTTCCCATGTACTTTTCACGCATAGTCCTGGCCCCCCCCTGGCCACCCCTGCCCACCCTTCCACAGTCAACACAAATTGCTCTTGTAATATCAATTGAAAGCAGGGCGCCAAAAACATACGCCTGGAATTATGCAAATGATTTTGTTTGCTGGATTTTTATTTACTCAGAAAAAAAAGAGGAAAGAATTAAGCAAAAGAAAAGGCAAAATATGAGTGGTTTAATTTGGGGGTTTGTACTTTAAAGAAAGTACAGTCCAACTCTCATTGGCTGCAGGTACAGTCCTGCAGGTGCTCACTCTTATGCGCTTCCAAGGGGGGTGGCTACAGCAGTGCGAAAAACCACAAAATCAACTTTCATTTTACTGGAATAATTTTTTTTCTTAATATCTGCCCCTCTGCCGCTCTGCCTCCGCTCTCCTTCTCTTTCGTTTGTCTTTTCCTTTGGCAGATTTCCTTTGAACTTTGTACTTTGTTGTATTGTTGCCATATCCGGATATATTTATGAACATTGTTTGTATATATTCGAGACAGCAGCAGACCAAAAATACGATATACATATACGATATATATTTTCAACTTTTGCCGCCTCAAGTTTATGCTTTATGCAAAAGCATTCCTGCCACCCCCTCCTGCCTCCACGACGAAAAAATTGAGCGCGCCAAAAGTTTTTGTTACCTTTAAACAAATTGTCCCTTTTTTTGTTGTGTGTGTGTGTGTGTGTGTGAGAGGGAGGAAGCAACAACAAGGACACATTACGAAAATCCGGCCAAGCAGGATGTGCGCACTTTTGGGCCTCCTTCTAGGTGTGCGAGTGAGTGCGTGCGGGGGTGTGCGGGGGTGTGTGTGTGTGTGGGAGTGGATTCTGTTTGCCATATTTCCGTTGATATTTCTCCTCGAAAACTTGGCCAAGTTTCTTCCTTTATTCTTAAAAGTTGTTTCTAGACCAAAAACGAAACCGTTTAGGCCTCGTGTGGAGGATTCGCCCTAAAAAATGATCAGGGGTATGATGGAATTTGTGTTTCTTTTGAAGAAAGGAATATTACTGAAGGCTACAGAAATATCCTTTGGTTAAAAAGAAGAAAAGGTTTTTCATTGGATTATTTTTTGGGAATATCATCTGTTTTCAATCTGTTTTTGGGCAAGGAAGTAGTTAGGATATTTTTTAATTGTGCTTAAGGATATTTTTTAAGTAAGAAAAACTCTTTTTTAGTATTGAAATTTAAGAAAAAATTTGACAATAAATATGTTTGCAGTTTTAACAGTATTTTTGTTGAGATTTTGGCTCTGATTCTGAGAGAAATGTCCATAACCTTCTCCCATAAATTTCTCTTCCATGGTGCAACCCTCAGGAATTAGTGTATACGCCTGTGCACTTCTTGTTTCCATTCTTTTCCCGGCTCATAATTCTTGTTAAAAAGTTGGCATATTAAATAAATATTTCAAATATTCCCCCGCAGCAAAAAACTCTCTGGAAGAGGGGAGGAGAGGGGTACGTGCTGCAGCCACGTACATAATTATGCTTTGATCTTGGGCTTTGAGCTTATTGATGTTTCATAGGGAGCCCGGCCCGAGTCCCCTCCCGTTGGGTCCTTTGGTCCTTTTGGTTTCTGCCGCTTGACCGAGTTTTTCCTTTGGCCCGCTCTCTGCCATAACCAAATCAAGTAGCCGACGTGTGTGGCGGCTGAGGATGTGGGTCCTTTCGTTCAGCCATTATTAAAAATGCAATGCTATTAATTTAAAATAGCATCCAGCAGCCAGCAGCAGCATCCGTCAGTTGAAGGGCGCGAAAGGAGTACTTGGGGGAGTGGCAAGGGGAGTTGGGATGGTTGCCGTGGCTACCTTCGTCCTTTTGGATTAAGACTACAATTAAATTCACATAAAACAAAATATCCTGCGGTGCTTTTTATGTGTGCGCTTGTAATATAAATCCTTTTGGCTAATGGGGGCCACGAAAACACCCACACACACTCACACACACACAGCATTCGGAAAAGCTCCAAGTGCTCACAGCAGGAGGTCCTGCACTGTAAAAAAAACACAGAGAGGGAGAGGGAGAGGGATTGGGAGGGAGTGGAAAACTGGGCAAGCAAAATGAACTGAAAACATTGCAAGGACAAAGAGTGGTAGGGAAAGTCATGGGGTTGAGAGAGACAGAGAGACAGGGAGAGAGCGAGAGAGTGGCAGGGATCAGCGAGGCGCTCTGAGAGGGTCTGAGAGGTTTAAGAGAGACGGGCACGAGCCGGGGGTAGAGCCGGCTTCAGTGCAGGGGCTTAAGAGTGGGGTCTCTGAGAGGGCTCGGAGGGTGGTGGGGCAAAGACCGTAGACACCAAACGTGGGCTAAGCAGCGCGCTCGTGTGGAGCTTCTAATGAACAAAATTCTGGGTCTGCGTTTGTGCATGCGAATGAGCATCCAGCATACAACATTCAAGCATCCAGGAGCAGCACGAAACAGATACACAGGACACACACACGCAGGCACAGACACAGATACAGATACAGGTAGAGGTACAGATACAGGTACAGGTACAGTAGGGGCGACCCCATTCTGGTACAGTAAAATATGCATCCTTCGTGTGTGATTAAGCGTAAATCCGCTTTTATGTCTTTGGCATTACGCAACAGCCACTAGAAGAGAAAGAGAGCGAGAGAGAGAGAAAGCGAAAGGTCGAGAGCGGACTACATAAAGAGAAATGGTTTAAAATTAAGTGCAATTTTTTTTTGTTTTTGTGTGTGCCTCAAGGTTACTAAATTTATGTCGGTGGGGGGGCTCCAACCAGTGGGGCAGGCTGTTTCCAGATGATTTGCCAGCATTAAAGCAGGTGAAACGAGAAAACCTCGAAAAGGCGGCTGCCACGCCCAGAGAAAAAAGTCAGCGAAATATATGTAGTTTGATATTTATCATAATTTGATATATATGAAATAAGTTCATATTTCAATTTAAATTTAAATTGAAAATAATCATAATTAAATATTTTAATACTTAGATTAAATATATTCAAAGTCCAAGTCTATTATTTATTTTTTTCTTGCCCCTTACTGCTCTCTGAAAGGCTTGATAAGCCTTTTTCTTCGAAATATTGAACGAGGAATGGTGGGAAATATTTGTTTTATTTCTTTTAAGAACAATGCCACTTTGGTCGAACCAACATTTGTACTAATTTATATAAATTGGTAGGTAAAACCGCGCCATGTGCTCCATTATACTCCCTTTTTGGCCATGATAGGCACAGTGCCATTCACATACAAGCCGAAAAGGTTGCTGAAGATCTAAGATTCGAATCAAGCATTAAAATAGAAAATATATAGATGTACCTCTGGCTACAATCATAGTGCCACCAGGCACCCGTTCTCTCCAATGCACAGTTCCCCTTCAAGTTTTGATCGTTGTCCCTGTCGTAGGTGGTGAATTTCCGGTCTTTGTTATCCCTCATCGAATCACCCGCATCTCCAGTGTAGGAGCCCAGCCTTGTCGTACGATATGACTCGTTCTCACTTTTGTAGCGTGTGTTCCCCTCGAAAGAAGTCCCCTGTGATGTTCCCAAATCCCCTCTGGTACGCTGCCCAGTCTTGAAAGAAGTTGAGTTCTCCAGCCAGGACCCGCAGTCTTTGCATTGCAGGAAACTTGAAAGAGGTCTAGGAAGTCTTACTGCACAGTATGTATGCCATGGAATTTGGGATCGTTAGGACATTCGCTGTACTCATTCGCAGAATACAATCGTTGAACATTGGGATTGTCTCTGAAAGTAGGTTTCTTCTTAAATCAGTCTCGATTTCCGTCTTATGAATGCACTCGAAACTTTACCACTCCAGCATCGGCTAATCCCCTGATAATATTTCATTTAAATATGTATGTTTTTTTTCGTAATGCTGTTTTTCTCTGAGTGTATAAAAGCTTACTTTATGTTGACAATTTCTGAAAATTTGATGTATGTTTCTTTCGAAATATTATACCAAATGAAAGGTTATCCCCGCACCAATCAATACCCCATCATGGCCTTTGCTTTGGAGCAGCAAACCTGCACCGGTAATCCCCTGTACCCAGTGATCCCCTGGCTTACTGGCCCTGCCTCCATCCACACATAGAATGATAATAACCTTTTAATAATAATTTCCATTATCAGACGATTTCCAGTGCACTCTCAGACGGGGGAGGGGGGGACAGAGGACTGGTTGACTGAGGGACAGAGGGACAGACAGTCGAAAGCGAGTGTCCGATTCAGTGGCAATTCTGTTTAATGTGCATTTAAGTAAATAATTGAAATTTATTGCAGCTTGTGCAGGAGGGCTCTGCAGCACATACTCGTAGATATACTCGTATGTAGGTACTACTTATGCGATTATATATGAAATGATTGAAGAAGTCGAGTGCATAAAACTATAATTGGAAGCAATTTCCAAGAGCCAGAACTCTGGATGGATATCTGGATGGATGTTGTGTTTATTCGTTGACTCGTGGAAAATACAAAGAAAAGCCGAACAGCACAAAAACACAAAGGAAACGTCACGAGAAGAAGAGTTTCTTCCGCCCGAAAGGTTTCCCTTTCCTTTCCTTTTCTCTGTTTATTTAGTTTTTTTTTTTTTTGGTCAGGTCTCATTAAGGTCACGTGACTCCCAATCTTGGGGGGGGGGGGAAAGTGCAGCCATGCATGCGGTTGCCAAAATGTTCGGGGCATCAAATGCAGCATTCGTTCGCTTCGGGATTTTTTTGGCCTCGTCCACGTCCAAGGAAACGAGAGCCAGGCTCTTAGCACTCGACGCATGTTTCACGCACATTTGAACACAGACGACATTCCCCTGCCCCTGGCCCTGCCACTGCCACTGCCCCTGCCCCTGCCCCTGACTCGGGCAATTATCATGCGCCTAAATCAGCATCCAACCCTCCCCCATCCGTGTCCTTGGCATGTTCAAAGCAAGTTTTTCCCAGGCAGCAGCAGCAAAAAGAAAATAAAGAAAAACTTAACAGAGGGAAATTACGCACACGAATTGCGCTGGACAATAAAAAACGAGAGAGAGAGCCAAAGGAATGGCGAATAAATTATGAACAACGCTGGAAGGGTGGTGGGGGGAGCAACGGGCGGGGGCCACAGTGGGGCATGGCCATGGCTTATCATCTACTTGCGCGTCTAATTTGTTGGAAAATTAGTTTGTGTGTTTTGTGCGTGTAATTTTCATGCAAGCCCCCGTCCCGTGCTTTCGGATCTGCACTTGATTTTGATTGAAATACCCACAGAGAGAAGAGAGCGTAAAAAAGGGCAGCACAGTGTTGCTCGCGAGGGGGAAGCGAAGGGAAGGCGGGGGGTGTGCCAGCCAATTTTGGTTAACATTTATGACAATGCCTTCAAAGGGTCCGCCTTTTTCGTGGTGGCTAGAACTTAATGGGCTGCCGCAATGGGGGAATGTGGCCAAGGACTGCTAGTTGCTTGACATTCGGTTTATCGATGGGGTGTACGAAGAGGGGGGGGAACAATGCTGTACACACATACGAGTTTATGGCCGAATCTTAAGGTTTACTATGGTATGTAAAGGGCCTTCTAGGAGGACTGCTTCCTCTAATCGTATTATAATTCTAATAATAATTATAGAATCAACATTAATTTCGGATTTTAAAGCAAAGAAAAAAAAAATGTACACAACACAATCTTAAAAAAAAACTAAAAAAAGTTTTAAATCCAATAATACAAATTAAAATTAAAAATTAACTTCTGATTTGTCTTATTATCTATTTTTATTATTAAATTCTGAAGGCTTATTAGTCTCAACCAGATACAGCTTAATTGTAAAAAAATAATCAGAATAACAGGGATTATTAAAATTAATACCTGCCATTTTTTTAAATATATTTTTAAAATTTTAATAATTGCCAATGACTTTTATTCTTTATTATTATTCTACAATTTGAAAACAAGTTCTTAAAATATTTATTTAAAATTCAACAGAATGATCTAAGAGGACCTCCACCCTAGAAACCTGGACAGAGAATTGAACCAAATAATATCCACCTCAAAAAACAAAAAAATACAATACAAAATTTAATAAAAAAATATACACATACATCTACTAATTAAATCAAAATTGAAGAAAAAGATACGAGTTCCATTCCTGTTCCAGAAAACCCCTTGAAAAAACTGTTTTTGTTTTTTTTTTTATCTCTGTGATCTCTGCTATAGAGACTAAAATATGCCAAAAAAATCAACTCAAACCTGAAGATCTCATATCAAAAAGCCTCACAAGTGGAGTATCTCTACCGTCCATTCTTACTCCTTAACCTTTTCTAATATCGCCATATTTTTTGGGGCCGTCTTTAAGCTTCAATCTCGGCTTGTTGAATGAGCATCTGCTACCAGATTCTCACACTCGGCCAGGGCCCTCCACTCCACTTGAAATTCCTCTTCGGATGTGCCAGCAGATTCCACTTCTTGTTTGTCGTCTGCTCTTTAGGGATTTTTGCTTTTAAGTAAACATTCGCACGTTTTGCGTTAAATTATTTTCGTTTAAGTGCTGCTGCTTCTGCTGCTGGCCTTTTATTTTCTGCGGTCCCTGCCTTGATTGTGGCCGATGGCTGAGGGCTGATGGCTGAGGGCTGCTGCGTCTGCGCAGAGAGCTCTCTGTGTGTCTGTCTGTCGGTTTTTTAGTATCTCCCTCCCAGTGGAGAGGATACCCCTTTGATTATGAGGGCGTCACTGATGTGCGCGCAGCTGGGGCCCAGGGTCTTGTTATTTCATCAGGCCAGCAATCAAATGAACGAAGAAAGAAGCAATAAAGGAGGCTTGAATCGGGCCCCTAGGCGACTGTTGAATGCCCTCAAGGCCTGAAGCCCTCAAGGACTTGGTCGAAGGATTGGTTCGATTGCAGAAAGATAGTAGGGGAAATATTGTTTAAATATTCCCTGGAATGGTTCCACTCTTTGGATGGTTCTTGAGCTTGTCAAAGAATAAATTATCCCTCCTTCAAGGTCAAAAGTATGCACTCTCCTTGCGAAAGAGTATCGCAAACAAAAATCAGAACGCAACTGAAGTTCTGCGAAGACCGAAGACGACACAGGAAACTGGTTTAATTGGTTGAGAACCGAAACGAGGCGTGGACGGGTTGTTCCTCTTTTTCGCTTTGGGGGGCGGAGGGGGACAGAGACTGTTGCACTTGCCCCTGCATTGTCTGTGGCGTCCACCCACCCACGCCCCTCCTCTGTCTGGATAAATCACAAAAATCGCAACTCATCGAACTGTGAGGCAAAAAGTTCAATTCAATTCAATTAGCAGCATATTTTGTGCTGGCAAGATACAAAAGCCATGAGATACAGATACAATGCCACTCAGATAGCGGCAATTTATGAGGCCCATGGCATTGTCAGCATGTGGTTCCAACCCCCAACCCTCCTTGTGGCATGTTTTGACACTGCTGCAGGCCGAGAGAAAAGCGAGAGACGCAGAGACACAGGGAGATACAAAGAGGAAGAGAGAGAGAGAGAGAGAGAGCAAAAAGGGGAGCACCCGCTGTTCACACTCGATGGCATGCGATCTTCAGATGCCTCTGCTGTGAATGAGTGTGGGGCTTGGGGGCTTGGGGCATGGGGCATGGGGCAGGGTCGCATGTGGCGCGCGTTGCGTGGCGTCGAAATGATTTAAAAGTTGGCGTGTGTAAAGATTGTGTGTTGTGCAACAAGCGACTCACCAGGCTGCCCCCGGCCCAGCCCAGCCCTGCCCCAGAGACCAGCATCGCAAAAGTATCTGATAGATAGATAGATACGAGTACTCTTACAATGTATGCTGGCAATCGTTAAAGGAGCTTCATGGGGGAGATCTTGTTAGCCCAATTAATTAGTTGATTAATTGATTTCCTCTATAAATAATGTATCAAAATATTTCAGGGGGGGATTTTTCGAAGGTGGAATTCGAATCGATTAAATCGTTTATCTTTTAACCAAATGAAGCTTAAATTTTGTGTATATTGAACAGATGAGCACATACCTGACTAATCCTCAATAGATTCTTAGTTTTCGCAAGTTTATTCTGAAAGATATTAAAGAAAGGAATAAAAAATTATTATGAATATTTTTTAACATTTACATTATATTCTTAAGGAATATTTTAGGCTATTTCGAGCCCAAAAATGGTACTTCAAATATTATTAAATATTTTTAAAGTCTATTCTTAAGGATTTCTTCCGTGTAGTGCAGATATCAGATGCTCAAAAGCAGCGGGTATCCATTCCAGATCTATATTTTTGGAAAAAACTGACTGAAAAGCACCTCCATAATTGCATTGTCGCACGTATCCAATCCCTATGCAATTTCTTTCTTTTGGTTCAAAATTCCTCTTCCAGCAGGTGCAACCATTACACCTCCCTCTATACGTCAGACCTCTGCCCGGATCAAAGTTAATATTTTTCAAGCAAGTTCCTGTCCCCCCATTCACTGGTTGCCCCCCATTCCTTTGTTGCAACTCAATGACCCATTGAAAAGCTGTTTGCCGTCTCTTGTTTTGATGGAAAGTTCTCTTCCCCCATGTTTTTGAGGCGGTTGGGGGCGTGACAGGTTGCGTTAAATGACAAATTACAAGTATTTACATGCAAAACACAACAAGATGCTGGCCCGGGATCGGTACACCCTGGCTGGCTGGCAGCCTGCCTGCGTAATCGATGAGTGCGGCGCGTGCCGTGTGGCCACAGAGGAGTCGCTCTTGAAAAGCAACCAAGGTGGGGCATGGGGCATGGGGCACACAAAGCAAGCCACACGTTGACAGAGAGCCCCACGAAAGACAATCAAGATGCTGCCAGGGGGAGTGGATGGTGGCGGGAGTGGCTGGGAAAAGAAAATGAAGCGACGAGGCGTAATTGAGCGTAAGAAGTCAGGCAAGGACTAGTGCCTAGCGCCACCTGTCGGTGGTTCAGTCTATGTGTTTGTATGTGTGTGTGTGTGTGACATATACTTGAAATTGATTGCATTAATGATATGTTGTTGCTGCTGGTGCTGCTGCAGTGAAAGCCTCTCAATGATTGCCAAGTTTTGTCGGCGGCTCTCACACAAGTTGATTAAAAGTCTCGAGTGAGTCGTGGATGCAGCAGCAGCAGCAGTAGAAGAAGGAGCACGAACGGAACGCTCCTCGAATGGAAAGCAATTAGCAATTGACACTTGGGTGGCAGCTTAGAGGAGCAGCAGGAGCAGCAGCACCAGGAGCAGCGGCAGAGAGCGAAGAAAATGCCGAAGAAGCAAACAAACGCAATTAATGAAAGTGGCAGTGGCAGTGGCAGTGGCAGACAGAGACAGAGAGATAGAAATAAGTAGAGACGGCGAGTGTGAAATGCTCTTAAGCAGGTACAGTAGGTGACAAAAGCTTCAATTTGAGCTTCAAGCTGTAAAGGAGGCCAAGATAAATCGAAGGATATTTTACAACCGAACGGGTATATTGGAGGATATTGCCGTTTATATGTGTGTGTGCGTGTGTGTGTGTGTGTGTCAACAAACTTGTGTTGTGTGGAAAAGAGAGCTGACAGTAGGTACAGCAGGTGACAAAAGTGTTTCATTAGAGCGCTCTATAATTAAACATTTCTGAATGATAGAAAATACAATTTTTTGAAGCGATAATTAGTTGGTAAATCAAAGAAGTTCCTAAAAGTTCATTAGAATCGGATGGAGGCGGTGCCAAAAAGCTTTTATTTTACACATTTTTCACACAGAAAAGGTACAGTTTGTGACAAAGGCTTTTCTTTAGAGGTTTTTACAGTAGCTAGATTCGGATAAATCGAATAAAAAGAATCGGAAATACCAAGCATTACTCTACCAATAACATTCCGGCAATAGAAAAGTACAGTAGGTGACAAAAGTGTGCTATTTGGGCTATCCATAGCTAAAACGTTTACTTAACTTAAAGAATATCGGTTTTAGAGATGATATTTAGTTGGATAATCAAGGAAATACTTTAATTATCGCTTCAAAAGAATGAAATACTGAAAAACTGATATTTTTCTCGGTACAGTAGGTGCCAAAACGTGGTTTTTATGTTGTTTTTCAATCTTAGGTACTCCCAAGGTTAGTTCCAGGAAAAGTATGGATTTAAATACAAGAAAATTCATAGTAAGGCCAACCCATGCTGCCCACAACATTTCAACTAGATGTCTTCATGGCATTAATCCAGTTACAGATCTCCTTGCAGCCCAATAACCTGTCCCATCCAGCACCCCTCCAGAGAATGCCCTGCAGTGTAACTATGGATTCTTGTCGCAGCGTCAGAATCTTTGCGGCTGACTGCACAAGGCACCAAGCCACCAAGCCACCAAGCCAGCCTCCCCTTCGACCATGCCGCAAGGACGGACTCCACTCCATTGGCTATCGGGCCACGCAACGCTGCCTACTTGGGGGCGCACTGACCGACACAACATATTCCCAAGGAGTGTACAGATATACCTATAAATATGTATATATTTCTCATGCAATTTAATTTGATTAATGAGGCGCAAGACCCCAGATAGCAGCAGCTGCTGCTGTGGGGGGGAAACTCTCTTTAAATCGTAACTTTACTGACCCAATTCCTTGGCGAAAAGCTAAGAAATAGCTACCCCTTTTGGCCACAAAAAAGAGACTCCAAGAAGTTTCTTCCGGGGAGTCGTGCCCCGTTGTGCTGTCACTCGGCCGTCTGTTTATTTTCATAGGCGCAGTTTTTAATTAAACATCGCCCCCGAATGGCACTTCAAAGTGCCATTTAGTTGCTATTTATAGGGAGATCAAAGCGAGTCCAATTACTCAACGCCAGGCCGCCGGGCCGCCAGGGCACTGCAAGAAGTTGGCAATGAGCTAGAGAGCCGCCTCGGAGGAGGAGTACGAGAAGAAGGAACTCCACGTGGCACATCACTCCAGTCCACTCCACTGCAACATGGGGTGTGGCAAGCAGGAAATCGAAGTGCGCTCTCGTAGATCGTGCAAATGGACCCAGACGCCTGCCCCTGCCCCCTGCCCCTGCCCCTGCCCCAAGAAGGTGTTAGACGAAGAGTTTCCATCGCATCCAAAGTGTGACCAGGCCCTAATTGCATGGAAAGCCGGTTGACGGTAGACGGCTGCCGATTGCTGGTTACCTCCTGCCACACACAATGCCTGCCACATGCGCGGTGCAGTCACACGACTTTCAAAATCAATTTCAGCCAACAATAAATAATTTCTTAATAAATTGCACATTCAAAATGCAACTTCCTGCAATTAAAGGCCAAGTTCCCTCTGCCCCCCGTCCTTCTTTGTGCTCCTCCTTCATCTCCTCCTCTGCATCTGCTGCATTCGAGTGCAATAAAAAATAATTGAAAATTCAGTCACGTAAACGTTTTTCCAGCCGCCGTTCTCTGCAGAGCGATCGCTGATCGCGCCACTCATTAATCCATTGCGGCAGGCTCTTGTTGCAGCTCGCTTGTGGCAGCATTGAGATGGCAGAGTGACCAGATCGGGGGCATATCTTTTGCTAGAAATGTACCCAAAAACTATACTTTATTCCCATTTCAAGTGACGCTTCAAATTCCCATCTCAATGGGTCTTTCAAAAGATGTATTTTCTCTTAGGTCTTTCCCTTTTTTCCAGCTACCTTTCCGTCCATCTCCCCTGAGGCTCCAACCGATACTCACGCTCCCATCTCTCGTTGTGGTCTGCGCCGTTGCGTCGCTGGTTTTTGCCCCATAATAAAAGCACGCGGCTGGCTTCGCTTATCAGCCGGCGACAATCGGCGGAACGTTGGGGGGGCACGTACTGGCAGGTGTGTGGGGGGGGGAGCACTCTTCATATTTGGGTTAAAAAGGCGTGCATGCAATTTACTTCTCCTCCCCAGACAGAGTGGGGGATGGGAGACAGAGAGAGAGAGAGAGAGATCATCATCATGATTACAAAGCCAAAGACACACTCGACTCCGGCCTCTCGTCGTTGATGATGCGTTTGATTGAGGCGCGGTGTGGCAAGGGGCCAAGGGGCAGATCAGAGCCGAGACTTAGTTAAGGCTGCAGTTAATTAATTGCTGCAACTGCAACTGCAACGAGCGGGCGGGCGATCGAGCGGGATCTCTCTCGCTTGCAGGTGGGCGTGGACGTTGGACTGGGGGGCAGGTGGTTTTCGGAAATTAGAAATCTGAAGCCCAACCGATCTAACCGGCAGATAAGCCGTCACAAGAGAGAGAGATGGAGGCGGGCTTGATGGGGATTTTCCTCCACGTCATGATTCGGAGAAGCTTTTCCCATGTTTGCCCACGTAAAAGAGAGTTCTTCTGTGCTGAAAGAACCACCAAACTTCGGCTGAAACCTGCACAATTTTCAGCCTTTTCTTCCACTGAAACCTCGGTGATTTCCACTGAAAACTCTCCACAATTGGTTGCTTCTTCTGTGACTTGTGCAACTCCCTTTGACAGCTGCAGCTGCAGAGAAAATGGTGGAAAGTGTTGGCGACTTTTTTCTTTTTATTTCCCAAACAGAAGACGACAGAATGTCAACCGATGGAGGGAAAATTACAACTGAAACGAGTTTCGCCGCACGCCTTTGTCTTCGTCTCCGTCCCCGTCTCCATTTTGCCTGGAATCTCCCCCTCGCGAGGGCCTCGACGGGTTGTTTGCAACGAAATTGAAAATACATTTTTAATGATTTGTTGCTCAGAGATGCAGCCACATGCAGTCCAGGCAGTCCAGGCAGCAGTGCTCCATCAGGCGGTTCGATGAACCGCCAAAAGGAAAAGGAAGAAGCTGCTGTCTATTCGCGTGAGTCATCCTCGTGGCTCCGGGATCAGGTTTTTGTTGCACGCGAGCAGCAGCAGGGGGGCTCCTCTTCAATTTATGGCCTTGCCCCAAAGTGGAGCACTTAAAGGCAGACCGAGACAAAGCCTCGCAGAGAGACAATGAGGATCGGGGATCTGCTGCGGTCACGAAGGCACAAACAACAAACGACAAAAAGTGATATTGTCTCGGGAGAGAAAGGGCATGTGCGTGGCCCCAAGGGGTTTGAAGGATCCACTCTGCCTCGCTTTCGCCTGTCAAAGACCTTTCGTGGAGGAGAT